TATATATATATATATATATATATATATATATATATATATATTTCTAATTTTAAATTTCCCAGAAAAGTATCTTTTTTATCATATAATATGTAAATTAATAGACTACTTCTGACACTCCTTAAGGAATGCAAAACTCCAGAAGAGCACGTCAGAGAGAGGAGTCGACCTATACCCAGTAACCATATTATGTAAAAATAAAAGTCCGATACAATTCTTCTCTTCTTTCTAAAGACATAATATTTCCAAGTTACGCAATAATGGTTAATATTCATGACAAAGAAATGACATGGGTCTTCCCAGACAGAAACTAATCATACGTAAGAATCTCTGCTAAACCTTTTTAATCAAGGCGAACTTTTTATGTGAAAATGACACGCAAGAGTTCTGGGCGTTTTCTCGCTCTTCTGACGTCATTAATCAAGAGTTTCGCGGCGAGCGAGCAGGAACCTTAAATCCAAAATATTGTTTCGCGATAACAAGTAGACGGAGAAAATTACGAGTCGGACGTTAAGCCGGGGTTTAGTTGATGTCGCGCTGCGCGAACGAGCCCGGGGAACGGATATCCGCGGAAGAAAGAGTCCCAGGACGATCGATCCTGCCACCAGAGCGCCGTGGACATTCGTTTCCATCCGGCGAGATTGAGGGATGCGGCTCGATAAATGCCGCGGTGCGGATTGATTTAGAAGACTCTCTCACATGGGTGGCTTCACTCGCGGGAGTCGCGGAGAAGGCGAATCGTTGTCGGATCGATCTCGTCGCGCGCAGTTGACACGGTCGATCTCACGTAGATGACCAATCAGAGAACCAACTGTTTCGCGAAGGTCGGAAAGCACAAACGGCCGCACTGTCGTCATCGGTTATACGTCGCGGTCGAGCGAGCGAGCCAGCGCGCACGCTCTCTGAGATTTCTTCTATTTTCGAGTCGCCCTTTATACAGCCTGCCGTGTATCTTTACGCACGCGTCATCGCGTAGAAAAGATATTTCCTTCGATATCGAAAATAAGTGGATCTACGTAGAGTGTCATTTTCTCGGTGAGAGTGAGCGGACCGCGAAACGTTTATTTTTGTTTACACGCAAGCCAAGTTAACATTTCTTCCCTTCTATAAGTAAAGGATATGATGTTAGTGGCTACGCGCTAAAAATAATATCCTGAATGCGAACGAGAAGAAATAAAAGAACACTCGAAAACTGTTCCATTTTTTTTCTTTTCGAAAATTCCGCAAAGTCGAAAAGGAAGGTCTTGTTTGGAAAATATTTTCATTCTGTTAATTTTCAGATAAATTACATAGCATTAAACAAGAAAAATAATTTATATCAGTACACTTTACACTTAATTCGAGGAATCATATCATGGAGTTTGTAGAAAATATTTACTTCTTGTTACTTATAATTCCGAATTAATTGTGTTCTCCTCTCGGTAAAATAAAGAGCAATTTTCGCGGCATCAGAATATCATTACAATATCATCGCAATTTTCATGACATCAAATTACTTCTTTCTTCTTTTAAGATTCTTGTTATATGTGGACGTGTCTTTGCGTACTTGTGTTAGTCATTAATCAAGAAATAAGCTGAAACATGTCTATTTGGGTGCATTTTGTTTTAATTGTTTCAAAACTCAGAGCCCTATCACGCGCCACCAACGACGATATTTTTGACAAAACGTATCTGCACCATAATAAAAAGACCTTTCGGGACTTTGACATCTCCAGAGATCGAACGATTGCATCCACGTTGAACGTCGTGTACACAAGAGAAGAACGCGTTTGCCCACGCGGGCCGCACGACGACGGTCGTGACGTAAGGGGAAGAAATACGTGGGGCCCCATGTATGCATATATGCACGTTAACATATCGCGCAAGTTGGGATAATTGGTCGTGCGACGAACGGGACAAATATTATTTCTCCGAGCGAAGCCGAGGGAGGATTATATTTGTATGATAATACTTCACACTCGGCTGGCTTCCTGTAATGGAAGAGGGATATATGCATTGGGGGAGCGCGCCCCGTGATTCAACTTGCTATTATACGATGTAATCAGTACTTCATAAATATCCACGCTTTCACCCGCGCACTACTAAGGACTCGGATAAGTGTTGTATTTTATAGACGCGTTTACGCTGATCGTTTCAACGAGTCGTCGAGATGTGATAACAATGATTCATTGTCGCACGGATAAGAAACACGATTTCTCTGTCGCAGCTAATCATGGTTTGCTGAAACTGTTCTTGTTGTAACTAAAAATCTGTTGCTGTAACCAAAATTTCTACTGCATCGCTTCTGTAGCTAAATATATGCCTACCTGGCATCTTTTCTTGGTATGTAAGCTGAAGTACTAAGTAATATATTGAAAAAAAATAGATTGACAAAATTGGCGGTCACCTCCTTCAAAGAAATATTATATTTTGAACAAATTTGAACAAGTTAGTGCAATAATAACTCGCGTTGATAGAGTTATTGAATAATTACCATAATTACTGAAATCTCAAATCGCAATCATTGAATCAAGTGATATATAATTCATCACAGCAACTATATAATTCGTTCAATCGACTTTGCTTGAACGAATTTTGTTCGTTGAAGCAATGTGTTTCATTAACTCAATCACTTTTTTCTCAGTATACATATATACGTACACTGTGCATATACATGATTATTGGAAGCTATTTTTTTTAGGTCCTATCCATATGTTATAACGAGATTTTGTTACCACACATAGATTCTCGTTATCCCAGCTAATTCTTTTTTTCTGTGAGTGATAGCCATCGCGTATGCAGATCATGAAGAAACGTGACAACAATGTCTCCAAAATAACGAAATCTTTATTGTCATTGCATATTTCACGCGTACAATATTTGGTCTGTGAAACCCGAAAGAATATTCGATTCCATGCCAGCGAAAATTCCAAAATAGCGCAAATCTCTTTGCAAATTTTGATTTCATTGCACTACTATCTTGTAGATGAAACTCTTCCATATTTTTGAAATCTCCCTAAAAATATTGACTTCCAACAAAGTTATAATAGTTCGAAGCTGCCCGGGTCTGACAGACTGACCCAGACTGTACCTCAAAAAATACGACCGTACGCGAAGGACTAGAAAACAACACGTGGCGTGTGGGTTTGTTCCTGACACGAGAATAAATTAAGTTTCGGATAATAAGATGATTCATATTTCTTGGATCAAGTCGTAGTTTAAAGACGATAGATAATTTCGAGACGAAGAAAGCTGCAATCCCACAGGTGGAACGTGATCTCTGCAACTCGGTAGCTTTGAACTCGAAGATGACACCGTTGTTGCGTCCCCGGGGTGTCTTTGTATCGGCGGGCCGCGACCCGCACTCCCCAAAGTCGGATAAGAGGAAGAAACAAATCCGCCACCTCTGGATATGAGAAACCGAAATGCGATGGCCGATGCGATAGCTGTCTTGGTAAGCTGTCTAGGAATGCGGCCCTCTCGCTCAGTCTCCCATTCTATTTCAATCAGCCTCTTTCTCTATCTCCTTTCCTTCCTCCTCTCTTGCTCCCCTCTTTTTATCTTTCTCCCTCTTGCACCATGTCCGAGTCCGACATGACATCCGAGAAGCCTTCATCAGGCCCCAATATCCAGGGCACATCGTTTCGCTTGCCACCCTGTCGGCGGCAGATCAAATCAATCTCGATCGCGGCGCTCGACCCTTTTCCAAGTTCTCGAGATGTCCGCGTTAATATCATGTCGCGTGAGGTAATATTACTCACAGTATGACGAGTCTTCTTCCCCTTAGCTATCAAACCGGCTCAGCCGCTGGCTGCATCTCCGTAGAAGAAAGCTAAAACACGCGGGCGACAACTGCATACTGAGAAACCACGAAATTAAAAATAGCAGGGAACCGTTATTAGAAAAATAATACGCCACAACGATCAGATACAAGCAAAGAATCGCGACGTGACATCGGCAAGCATAAATAAAATACGAACAACAACATCATGACTGAGCAGTTTTAATCGGTAACAAGCGATATCCTCTTCAGTTATCTATCTGAACGACACTTTGCGTGAAAAGAAGTTTATCACTTGTCGAAGTGTGATTGATAAGTGTATGCTCAGTCGCAAAACGACTTACATATTTTTTGTCGAATAAAGTCGTGGCGCTTCAAGTTGTTACGATTGAGGACCACTGCTAACGAGTATTCAACAGATACTCTGTCCTTTATACATACTTTATGGAATGTATATAAAAGTTATTTTACTTTAATGTATATAAAAGTTATTTTAGTTTTAGTGTTACTTCAATAATGTTCTCTTACTTTAAAATATAAATTTCTCCCCCTAAATTTATTGTCACATCCAGTACTCGACTTCTGTTATAATCGATTACTGTGCGCACACAGAAAAATAACACTCTAGTGACAAGAGAAAAGCGATTATTCAGTTAATTTTCTTCTTTTAAATCTTCTTTTTAATTAAATTGCCCTCTCAACAAAAAATATTTTCTTGATAATAGTCTTAAGTATACTCATCGCAAATTTTAGAAAAATTCATTATCATATAATCAAAAAAAGAGTTTATTTTCTTCCTAAGACTATCATAAAACTTTACCGAAAAGAAAGCCGGTCTTATGTAAATAGTAAATAAACCGAATTTTTGTTTCAATTTAATATTTTTTATTGCAATACTGAATTTACTAGGATTCGGAATGTTACACAAATTTAATGCGTATGACGAACCGATGAGTTAGATTTACTATTATACAAACTTACAAAATTTGACACAAATAACATTTATTTGAATGCAGTACATATTTTTCTGTGGGCACGCATACGTACCAGCAGCCGCTTTTAATTGTGACAACTTGAAGCGCTGCAATTTTATCGAATAAATGGTGCGAAAATCGTTTTGCGCGCGCGCGCGATTGAGCATATACAGGCAGACAGACGTAGGCACCCTGCGGAGTTCGGTGCCGCCTCGCGTCGTCCAGCCGACGACGTCTAAGTGCAGACATGCGTTTATGCGGCTACATCTAAATCCGAGCAAATTGTGTCGGCAAACATCGCGCATTGTTCGCCGGGGAAAAATTGCCGGGGCGCGTTTACGTCACGCCGCCCGTCCTGAAAAGTAATCTACACCGTATTGTCGGTGCGCGCGGCCGGCCATCCGCGAAAGACTTAGCGCCCCTCTCTCCCCCTCTCTTTTTCTCTCTTCGCTTTTTAGCGCGGGCTTAATGCCGCGATATTCAGCGACGAAGAAGAGGACGATGCATTCGCAGCGTGACGATCTGTCACGGGCATCGACGATCGCGGTCGGATGATCGCGCGTAAGCGCGTTATTCGCAGCGGGCCTTTCAGACCGCGACAGTATCGTTGCCTCTTCGGGGGTTGGCACTTCACACGAAGGGTGGGGTGAGTCCTCGGCAGCGGCCGCCATCACGACCGGGAGGATTATCTCTTGCTGGGCCTTGGCACGACGATGCCGCCGATCTTCCTTTCCTTACCTGGCCGCGCGCTCTTGAAGGATTTCGGCGCCTACCTGCACGACTTGCTCACTCGATGTGGTGTACACTGAGAAAAAATATCTAAAAAAATAGTAAATATTCATTTGATGGGCACTAATGACATATTTACTGAGAGAGAAATCTAAATTCTTTTATTCAAGCAGAATAAACAATTGCTTTCGTGAAAAGCTAAGGTTTCCGTGAGGTTTTGAGAAAAAGTTTACTTACACGGAGAGAATATTGTAGTAAAAATTACAATGCAATTTTAGTAGTTCGGGAATAAACTTATTACGAAAGTTATAATAAAACATAGTAAAAATGACCATAAACGTGATAAATTTTACTACATTTATGGTCATTTTTAATATGTTTTATTATAATTTTCGTAAAATAATGTCAGTCTATTCGTGGACTACTAAAGCTGCATTATAACTTTTACACACACACACACACTATAATATCCTTACTACAATATTTTTATTACAATATGTACTTGAAAATATCAACAAAATTTTAAAATATTTTTACTTATTTGAAATTACTTTGAAGAGTATCTTATTTGAAAAATATTTTACGTTATCATAAATCAGTTTATTATTAGTATCCACCGCGCGCGCGCGCGCGAATAAATACTTATTATTTCTTGGATATCTTTTCTCTCGGTGCATAATGGCAAGAATTCGATAGATTTAATTCGTGCATTTGATACTGTTCTTCAGTCTGATTTGTGCATCCTCGATTGATCCATCGAGGTGGCTTGCTGATCATCAGAGACCACATTTGTTGGCGTTCATCGCCGACTATGAATCGAATAGTGGTACTCGCGTTTCGCGGGAATGACTCGATACGGATTTATGGAGACTGCTTGTGTCTCGAGTTGTTACGGGCGACTTCCAATTCTAGAAAGGTTTCTTAAGAGAAGTTGAATATTATACTCGCTATAATGTCAATATATTTCCACTGCGAAAATGGCCGAACAAGTTTGGGGAAACACACGACTCCGTCGTGTTTACATTTCTGTTTTGCGAGTAGCCTAGCAGCAGTACGCGCGAGTAGGTAGCCCGACTTGTGTGGAGTGCATGCAGTTCGTTTCGTGAACTGCTCAATGTTCCGTAAAATGACGAGTCTGCCTTTTTCAATATTTGTCCGTTCCATGAGTATCTATATAAACTGCAGTCAACTGCATAACGTAGATGTTGCTAACTCCTTCGAGTTGCGCTTCATGAGAAGTCGACTCGAATCGATGTGATCGCCGTCGCGTCATCACGTTGCGAATCCACTGGGAGAATTTTACGTACTAGAATCGCAGCTAAAAGCCGAGAGAGAAAGAAAGAGAGAGAGAGAGAGAGAGAGAGAGAGAGAGAGGGGAGGAGGGGACAAAGACGAAGACACGCGCGGGATTCCGTGCACTCGGCTCTTCGGCCGTTTTCCGGAGCGCCGCAGCTGTAAAACGCGTATCGGCTCGGTGATCCACGGTGCCTAATTTTCGAGAGTAGGTCCAGGCGGGCGGAAAGGGGGCGAGGAACCACCTGGAACACCCCGGATCAAGGGAGTGAGAGACTATTCGGATGCGCCGAGCCGTGCAACGAGCCGCCGCGAAATAAGGGATGCTCTCCTCCACCCTGCCTGTCCCTCCACGACCCCGTCGCCGGTTCCGACAGTGTCGTAATGCGGTGCCTCCGCCCGTGTTTCGGGCCCTCGACCGCCGTTTCTTTTTTTTTTGCGTCCTTTTTACGTACGTGCGCGTACGTGTACACGTGTAACTAATACGAAGACGCCGGCTTCAGCTCGGGACGGCCCTCGGCGAGCGGAGGGTACGCCGAGACTTAAGCGCGAGCATACTTACCGCATGTTGCCATAATGAGTCGCGGGGTCGAGCACACCGAGGGGGGAGAGAGAGGGGAGGAGAGAGAGAGAGAGAGAGAGAGAGAGAGAGAGAGAGAGAGAGACGGAGGATTCAACTCTCCCACTCTTCCCTGCTCCCTTTTCATTGAATGCCGCAAAGAGCGGCCGATGCCTCCAAAGGAAGATTAAAGAGCCGCGATCCTCGGCGCAGTTTGTTTATCGGCCGGCTTTTTTTCTCTTTCTCTTTCCTCGCTCCTCCGCCTCTGCTATTTCTCTTTTTTCATCTTCATCATGATCTTCCTCTTCTTCTTCTTCTTCTTCCTTCCCTTCGTCTGTGCCATCTTCGACACCCGCCATGGTCCCTTCGGCGCCGCGTGTACGTGCCGATCCGCCGCGCCGTATTACGAAGCAATAAAACCGAGGAGCGGCTTCCTCAGCGGGCAAACTTGGCGCGTTTGTGTTTAAGTTGGAGACGGCGCGTAATGTCGATGCTCTCTGGTGGATATCGGCGATTGCTCGAGGAATGTCGACGTTCTACGTGCGGATCGTCGATTCTCGCCCCTCCCCCTCCACCTCCCCTGGTCCTCTCAGGCGATGCGAATTTTGAGTTTCCGGTTTCTTTTGCCGTAAAATGGCCGATCATCCTCTATGCCGTGCGGATATTCTCTCTGACGACGCGCACGGTAATTTTCCGCGCTCCCTCTGAAATCATCAGCGGGACGATCCAATTTAGTCCGTGTGCGTTTCTGCAGCGGCTTCCGCCCGACAACTGTAAAAGTTACGCGCGTCCCGTCGCTCACAAAGCGCACGTAAAATCGCCTCCCTGCCTACGTAGTACACGCACTGGATGTACAAGGGTTCAATCGCGGTTTTGCGAGGGGTTGGAAAGTCGACACACCGGAGGGACGTGCAGGGGATGTTTCGGAGAGTAGGGCGTACACACAACCGGCGGAGGGAAAACATGGTGGCCAACTGGTTGCGGCATTCATCAGAGGCGGTGCTCCGCGTACCTTTTGAGATCTCCTCTTTTTTACCGTCCTCCGTATACACGCGTACACACCGGCGCGAAGGGGGACGAAAGAGAGAAAGAGAGAGAGAGAGAGAGAGAGAGAGAGAGAGAGAGAGAGAGTGTGTGTGAGAGAGAGTGAGAGAGAGTGAGATGGGGGAGAGAAGGGGAACGACTGGCTCTATGAGAAAAACTCTCCATTGAAATTATCGACGAGAAAGGAGCCGCCTCCGTGTCGGCTCCCTTTGCGCGATCCGCTCCGATCCTAGGAGGAATCATCGGGAGGTATTTACACCTTCTTTATACGCCGAAGAGAGCCGCACGCAGTGCATTATCGTCGGCTCTGCTTAATCATGCGTGGAGCACGCGAACGTGGGCGCGCGCGCGCGCGCTCATCTCGCTACTTACAAAGCCGCACGTACGTATTGGCAAAACGTCGTCACAAAGAAAGTACCTTTCTCCGCGCGTTCCTGAGGCCGCTGTCGCGTAAATATAACGTCTTTGAACGTCGTACACGGAAAAAGAGAGTGGGAGAGAGAGAAACGAAGAATGCATTATTAATACCTGGGAAGAGAGATTGCGCGAAAACGTATTTTTTTACCTGCGAGGTGGGGGAGTGGAGGGGCGAGTGGCGCTAATTACGAAAACGATCGTTTCGGTCTGTGAGGACATGAAATGAGGTTTTCGCGATCGCGGTCCATCGGCGCGCGCGAGGGACCCTCAAACAGTCGAGACGGCACCCCCGTCAATCCCGTAGCCACCATTCGTTCTCCGATGGTGGATTCCACGCCGGACCATCGCGTCATCCCCGTGTGCCGGGGAGTCAATAGACTCGCGAGGAAAAAACGAAGACACACGACGCTCGCGTTGCGGCGAAGTATGTCCGATGGGAGGAGAATGGAAACAGGCGAGTCGCCGCGGCGCGCATCAGAAGCGTGGCAGATCTCCCTCTCGGATGTTTCCAATTACGTTTACGTCTCTCCTCTTCTACCCTGCCGCCCGCTCCCCTCTCACCCTCCTACCCGCCCCGGCATCCTCGCCCCGGTGCCGGTGTCTGATTACACCGCGATGTCGGGCGTCCCGTACGCCGCAAAGAGGAGAGAGAGATGCACTTGCCGTGCCCGTCGTCCTTCGTCGCCGGGCGCCGAAGCCTGAAATCAGAGAATAATAAAATTCACCTAACGCCGTTTAACCGGGGATACCGAGGGGGCTCGTCGACTTCCGCGTAGCGAGACGCAACTCGCGGAAAGGACGCGCGCGCGCGCGAGGGAGTAATCCGATACGTTTCGACCGCGAAACTTTCGCGAGGAGGGTTTACATAGTTACGCTAGTTCGGCAAAGTCTGCCCTTTAAAGAGACCGCGATATACCGTCAGACGGCCGGTCCACGTTGTCCGTCTCTCCGCCGCATGGACTTCCGCTCGGACGTCGCGTTTCCTACAGGCAACCCCTTTCGAACGTCCTGTTCAAATCCAAGTGCGCTACTTCTAAATACAGCGTGTAACTTGATTGAAGCTCCTTTCGCATGTTTCTTGCGGCTTCAAGTCACGTCACTCGACACGCTTAACACGTGTAATTTTTTAGCCACCAAATTTCTTAACCAGTGATGAAGCGAAGGGAAATATCACTGAAGATTATTAACAGGCGTTTACGAAATGTTTGGACAAACTTCTAGGACTTTCTAGAACTTCTTTCCTCCCGTCAAAATAAAGGAAAAAAATTTATATAACCCATAATCAAATATGAGTGATTGCGAAGTTATAGTGTAGTAAGACAATGTTTATGTTAATGCTATTATTAAGTAATCATAAGTAAATATTTAGGTTATAATAGTCGAGGCGGTATGTTCAAAAAGTACATGATTTATGCATAATAGAGTACCGCCATATTTGAGCCGTCAAGTGAGAAATGTGCTTAACAATAATTACTCAGATGGATAGATTGGCGGAGGAGAGGCAGTCGCACGCAGGCCTCCATGTTTCTTAGACTTGAATCCGCTAGATTTTTATCATTTGAAGCACTTAGTGTATTCGCAATCTATTGATAACCAAGACTTGTTTCGTCAACGCATTATTAATACTGGTGAGGCTATAATCGTCCGCGAACCTTTGAAATGGCTCGATAAACCTTACTTCGTCGTGTCAATGCCTGTCTTTAATCAAGCGGCGGCCATTTTGAGCATTTGTTTTAATTTAAATGTGCACTTATGATTATTTAATAGTAACGTTAACGTAAACTTTGTTCTGCTATAACTTCGCAACCACTCATATTTAATTATGGATATATGCTAATTTTTTTCCTCATTTTAATAAAAGTAGTAAGCTCTAGCAGTTTCTCTAAGTATTTCATGAACACTCTGTGTACACGCACACGTATGACATAACATTTTATTTACATATAAAAAATAACAACATTGAAAGTCTGCTCTGCATAGAATAACAGTAGAAACAGTAGAATTGTTGAATTAAAACTTTCGTTGTCTTTACTTAAAGTCAAGAAGAAGAAGTGAAGCTGCCGTATTTATCAGTCTTTTTTTGAGAAGACATTTTTTGTTAGAAGAATTTTATAAAAATTCTCTGAACCGGAGTAGTTTGACTGAATCTGGGACAATTCGGCGTCCCGGACAGCATTCGAAAAAAGCCGGGACGAAGAGTGGAAAATCGAGGCAGATTCGGCAAAAAGGACACGTCTGGTCGCCTTAGTAAAAAGAGATTCAACCGAAATAACACACTTAGATTCGCAGCCTTTTGCGCAACGAATTGCTGCGACGTATAATTTAACGCCGAGAACAATATCAGTCGCACTATCATATTCTTTATCCTTCGTTCATCCCTCTCTCTCTTTCTCTTTCTCTCCCCCTTCTCTCTTTATTTCTCTCTTTCCCTTGCATTTTTTTTTGAACGACAAATACAATCTCGTTTATAGTAAATCGCTCGATTGTTACCGCCGCTGTTGTTATTATACGTCCGCGGCTAAATCGATTATTCGCAAATTGTAATTATTATTCTCCGCGGCGTATCTTTGTCCCGAGTTATATATATTTTTTTTTGTTCCGTTAATCACGTTGCGCCAGTCTCTTTTTGTCGCGGAACGAGACATTTAAAGCCCCGCGAGCGCGCATAATCCATTGTTCACACGGATAATTTTATTAATGTACGTTAATCCGCGTGTTCCACGCGTTCAAATGCCCGTATTGCAGTTCGTTAACTTAATGGCGATTATCAGGATGAAATACAACTCGTAAATGCGCGAGGCGCAATCCGGATAAGCCGAAAGGCAATAAAGAGGAATTGTAAATGCCTCGGATGAAAATGCTGCCAACAATGCGGCCTCGATAGTATTCTGTTGGTGTTAAACGTTCGAATAACACCGTTGCGTGCGGAAATCGGTTCGATTAAAAATACCGCTAAGCGCGCTAGTCGTTTTTGCGCGATATGCAACAATAGGCGGAAGTACACGGAGTTTGCGATGCAAGTTCCGCGGCCGTTACCCCGGAAAATTGCTAACACGCATCGCGCGCGAAAGGTATGGAGATTCGGCGTTGCAATGAACAAGCGCGACGGAGAGAACGTGTCCTTTCTCTTTCTCTCTCTCAAAAAAAAAAGAAAAAAGAAAAAGGAAATTATTTCGTCTTCTCTCTCTCAAATGAGATGTATCTGTTGGGATGCGTGAACAATCGCGCCAATGAAAGGAGGAAGCGTCCCGCGTGCAGTTACAAATTAGCTTAGTTCCGTGTCAGCGATCATCCGACACATCAACTTCGCGTGCCAGACAAACGCGGCGCGAACGCACGCGGGACTCGTCGCGTTTCGACTGCGACTTGATAAATCCAATTGTGCGCGGCTAAAGCCGAAAGGTACACGAGGGCCGTGTCGAAAGAGACACGCCACCGAACTTTGACAGCGACTCGCGCTGCCGCGTGTTTCATGGCTATCAAGCGAAGGCTACCTATACTCTAGCTGCGGGGAATATTAGTGGCGGGTCGTATAAAGACGTTATTATATCCTGACGGCCGCCGTCTGCACGCATTCGTCGCGATCTGTATCGCCTCCCGAGACTCGGTGAGTCGAATCGTGAGATGCGACGAGGTTCTTCGCGCCCCGGGAAATCGCGCTCCGTTGGGACGCGACGTGTTCATCTCGTAGATGACGTGAGTCCAATTTTCGAGTACAATCTCAGAGGGAAATATCGGCACAAGTGAACAAGTCGCGGCCAATTCGCGGCGAATTAACGAAGCTAAGACGTTCGGCACCTTCACGGCACTCTGAAAGTGAATTTCGAGCCGCACGGAAGAAAGTATCAGTCCGAGTGACTGAATGGGGAACAGACAAAAAGCTCGCCAGCGAGTAATGTTTCTGTTACTGTGGCCGAAAACATTCATTTGAAAATCCAGTTGAAGCTCAGTTGAGATAACTGAGAGCAATTGGCTAAGTAGAAACTATTCTCTCTACTACGAGAATTTTTCTGTTCCCCTACAACTGAGTTTTTCATCTGGTTCGCAAGTACACTAAGAAAAAAACTAAATATTTACTATTTAGTTAGTAAATATTTATTTTTTGGCAGGTATTAACAGCATAGTTATTTAAATCTATAAATTCCTTTATTTAAGTAATTAGAATAAATAATTGCTTTCATGAAAAACGAAAATTTTCTTAAGTTTCTAAGAAAATGTATATTTTCTTATTTGAAAAACACTTTATATTAGTATAAGTAAATCTGCTGATAGTACCTACTAAAAATAAGCATTTATTATTCTTTTGATATATTTTTTTTCATTGCAGAAAATTCAGTTGCACTGACGGAGTTATTTTTTTCATGTAACTGAAGGTGTTCTTCACACAGAGAACAAGGATTGACCGACAATATGCATCACTGATAATAAGAATAATAAGGCATCTTGTTTGGCAAAGGAAGATTTGAGATCTAAATCTTCTTCACGGCCTGGTAATCTAATTCCTCCTGCTTAATCTGGCAAAACTATTTGGCCGATTAATTGCAGACTTGGCTGGACACACATATTTAGTGTCGATCGCTTTAAGTCCTGAGGTAGTATTCGGACGATATTTCTTCACTATAATTGTCCTCTACACTGAGAAAAAGTTTGGTAATTTATATTTGTAACTATACCCTCTTAAAGCGAATCAATAAAAATGTTTCTGATTAGTCAGAAAAGGAGCAAAAGTCAGAAAAGTCAGTAAAAGAAGCATCTCACCGGTAATCAGTGAGCGAGTATTCACTAATTTTCAATGAGAAAACAATCTCACTTTACTGCTCTATCTTATTTTCCACTGATTTTGACAAGTGGAAGTATAGTTTCACTATAAAATCTGTAATACACAAATTCGTTGTACGTTATACCAAATTCTTTCTCAACTTTCTGTGTTTGTGATGACAGAATTAACGGCTTCTATGTACTTTGTGCGCAATGACGTTATTTATGTTCGCAAGAGGTATCAATCATGAAAACAATCGTTACTGTTAGCTGATTCTTTCAACGAGATTTTACTGATTACAATGCTATACTTATAACTAAATTACTTGTTGTAAGTATAGCATTTCACTTTTTTTCAGTGAAGAATACATTCTCTTGAAATGAATTAGTAAAATTGTTTCTGATTGTATCAGTGAAAGGAGCATTTAATTATCGTTAATTAGTGAGTATTCACTGATTTTCAATGGAAACGCTCCTACTTTACTGCTTCATCTTATATTTCACTGATTTTGGCTGGTGGAAGAACGATTTTACTGTAAAACCTGCACATACGAATTCGTTATATGCTGTGTCGAATGCAATTGACACATTTCTGCATTTTTGGCGATGGCAGTATCGACTTCTATGCGATTTGCATGCACTGAAACTGTGTCTGTATTTGCAAACTGCATCAATAATAGGAACAATCGCTACTACCAGCTGACTCTTTCAGCGAGATTTTACCGATTGCAGTGCAATACTTATAACTGAACTATCAGTTATAGGTACAATTCAATGAGGAATACACTGATTGTACATTGATTGCCAAGAAAACTATTTCTTATTAAACTCCGCTACAATGTTGATGTGATAATAATATTATATGCACGTTATACTACTACTATTTTCATGTTAGAACAAGCAAAAAATATAATTAGGGCAAAAAATGACTATAATTTTAGTTAAATCAACTATTTTTTTCTCCGTGTACGAAAGCAGCTGCGCGCAATGTGGAATTATATAAACGCAATTCAGACCGCATTCCTGGCAGTCCATTTGCTACTATGATTAAGTAGTTTAGGGTGAGAAGAGAGATCTGATAGAACTTCGAAATTTTGTTTTACCGCGATAAAAATGTATGGTATTAGACGAGTCAGAGATATTAATATGAAATCAATAGAATCCGGCGCGACGTTTTTGTCTTTTTTTTTTTTCGCATTTCTCCGTTACACGCGAGCACGTTTTATCGGAGATAATCCGTAACCTCTTTATCGACGTTCCTATCAGACCGATAGTTTTTTATTTTCACCCGCACATTACTAATGGTGGAGAACAATGCGGGATAAATCGTATTGTAAAATCAATTTCTCGTCGTGTAATGCCGTCAACGTGAAGTTATGATTGCTGCATGAACAAGTGACGAACGTATATGTGCGCGAGCGCGCTTTTCGTATATAAAAATAATTGATGGTCGACGAGTTTTTCGCCAGCGACATACACGGGGTGCTTTTTACATGCCGCGACGAATGATCGAAATAATTTGCGCGTCGGCGCCTGATCCGCGAAACTTTCTCGACGGCACGCATTTGTATCCGCGTTGCATTTTTTTGCACGCCATTTCCTCCCTCTCCCCCCTCCCACTCCCCTCGCCACTCTCACTCCCTGCCCTCTTCCCGCGCCCGTGCGCATCGTTAATCGCGGCGATTGCCGCGCGCGCGACGAGGAAGAGTTAGATACGCAGGTAATTGGCGCCTAATTGGACCCACCTGTTCCATCCGGCCGGGCAAAGGAATCTCGACTCTCTTACCGTATTTATTTTAAGCGAAAGGGTTGGTCTCTCTCTCTTTCTCTTTCCCTCTCTCTCTCTCTCTCTCTCTCTCTCTCTCTCTCTCTCTCTTCCTCTCTCGGTTATCCGGCACTCGTGCTCGTGATTCTCTTTTGTCGACGACAAATCACGGATTCCGCAAAGAGGCATTTTAATACACCCCCATGGAAATTCCCCTCTTCCTACTCTCCCTGTTCTCATCGAGAAATGAGCTGACGAGACTGAATTGCTCGATCGAGAGATTGAACCCGATCAAGGGGCAAAATGTTGATCCCGTTGTTCCGGGCTCGACGATTTGGAAAATAGCGCACGACGTTCCCAGAGAACGCTTCAGCTCGACGCGACGTATCGAATTTTTGCAGCTTCACTTCGGCTCCGGGATGTTTGAGCTGGACGTGATGAGCTATACGCGATAGAGAGTGAGACGTCAAACTACAATCGTCAGTGTCGCGAATTAAAGCGAGAAGCAGCGCATCAGCGCACCTGCGACTCGCCGACCATCAGCCGACGTCGCCCGCGCGATACACGTCGCGCGAGAACGCGTCCGCTCTAATTCCGCGTAATGCGGCGTTTCGTGCGAGTTGCTTTGTATGCGAAGTAATCGCTTTAAAGCGCTCGCTAATTCTCAAAGAAAGAGCAAACGCCGGTTTTTACTGGCGGCCGCCATTATCTCTCATTAGAGCGGTTTCTTTCACTGGGAAACCCGTCGCGCGCTTCTCTCTTATGTCAACCCCCGCGCTTATGTGTGCGGACGTGGGAGAAATGTGGAAAATAAAATGAAGACGGGGCGGATTCGAGAGAAGGTCCGCGCGAGAGAAGAGGGTTGGGCAAGGTACCGTGTTGCGACACAACGGCCAATTGGCGCAATTGCGCGTGCGAAAAAAGCTCGGAGATAAAAAAGAATATATTCAAAATCGGACGGGTTGTGCCGATGGTAGATAAATCGGAGGGTGGATTACGACGCTCGTGATGGACGTTACGCGTGAAAGCGGCGTCCGGATGTCAAACTCGACGTCCATCCGCGTCAAACGGTTCTTGTTCGCCTTGTGCGTTTGCAACACGCACGGGCCGGTGGGATCGCGAGGGAAAATCCAATATAAAAGCAACCCCGACAAATCGAAGATCGTACTATTATGGATGACAGAGTTCATCATTGATCATTAAAGGCTCGTTTCGCGTGCGATTTTTCATCATCAAGATCAGAGCTCGGAACAGTTTGCCAATTTCGGCCGATTCTCGGGAGCTACGCCTTCTATCTCCCCTTTGCCATGCAAGTGACGGTCATGCCTTTAAGCTTGGAACCGCGACTGGCCGTGACCGTCACTTTTACGGCCCGCCGCGCGGCAAGGGGGAGATAGAAGGTGTAGAAGCTCCCGAGAATCGGCCGAAATTGGCAAACTGTTCCGAGTCCTGATCAAGATAACGGTAAGGTCTTTCATCCCCTCTCTTGTTAATTTGACAACTCAAAATAATTTCGCGATTTTGCATTGGACAGTCCGGGAACAACCCAATGAATTTACAGACACAATAAGGCAGGACTCGGAACAATTTGTCAATTTTGACCGATTCTCGGGAGTTACGCCTTCTATCTCCCCCTTACCGTGCGGCGGGTCGTAAAAGTGACAGTCGCGACCAGTCGCGGCTCCAAGCTTAGAGGCACGTCGCTTTCTTGGCCCGCCGCGCGGCAAGGGGGAGATAGAAGGCGTAGCTCCCAAGAATCGGCCGAAATTGGCAAAACTGTTCTGAGCCCTGCAATAAGGACTCGTGAGGAGAGTCCAACGGACTGATGCCAATCAACATGTTCCAATGTCGGACGTGAATGAATCGTATACGGACGAAGCCGAAGTAGAATTCACACCTTGGCAGAAAAATAGAAAGGCACGAGCCAATCAGAACTTGTGTCAGCCGGTGGTCGACAGTTTCTGCTTTTCCACCAGCGCGAGTTCTGATTGGCTTTTTCCTTTCTGCTCTTCCAAGCTGCAAGTCCTCTCTAAGAGTAGGTGTTGCAGCCATGTCGCTGTCGCACCATCGCGCTTGGTCCTGCCGCGCCGACGAAAGGGTGGCGGGCAGGCAAAGGACAAAGGAATCGAGTCGCACGCGCGGAAAGATGGAGGAGCGATGCCGAGACTCACGCGAATATTTGAGCGGCGTCGCGATCTCGCGATTTCTCTTTTTCTTTCCTCTCACACATACACGCACACACACATACACACGCAGTCACACGTGCACGCACAACGGCAAAACTTACCCCGACGACGTGAGAAATCCGCGCGGAACGCTCGGCGGAGGCAGATAGGGAAAGGAGACGGGTGACGGTGACGGTGACGATGACGACGATGACGACGACGACGACGACGACGACGACGACGACGACGACGACGACGACGACGATGACGACGACGATGACGACGGCCGGCGACGGCGTTGCGTGCGAGAGTGGCGTCGCGACGCCGGGCGTCGGCGTGGATCTCGCGCGCGCCCTGCAGCGCGACGACGCTCCGCGACGCGCCGCGCGTCGAAAACAATGGCGTCGTCGAAATTCCGATCCAACGGGGAACAGAGAACCGCCCACGACAGGCGCCGCCCCCGGTTCAGAGCATCGGCGGCGGCGGCGGCGGCGGCGGCGGCAGCGGCGGCGGCGGCGGCGGCGGTGGCGGCTGTGCCGGGGGCCGCGAGGCCACGTCAGGGAACGCGTGCGGAGTTGCGCCGCGACGCGCGGTTGCGGTTTATCCCCACCGTCGACGACCGGTGAACACATCGAGCCGCGGCCACGCCAGGACGACGTTGCTCCACCCAGATGCACGTTATACCGCACGCTCCTGGTCGAGAAGCCTCGTCCGGGGTAACGTTGCCCGGAGGCAAGGCAACTGCTGGTCGACTCGTACCGGACGGGAAAGGGAGAAGAGCGCGATGGAGGGAGAGAGATAGGGCGAAAGGACGTGGAGCAGGAGGGGACGGGGCCGGCAAAGAATGAGGAACGGAGACGGTGAGAGGCGCGGCGGAGCAGGGACAACACCGAAGGGAGAGACGGTGTGTGTATGAGGGAACGCGCTTAGGGGTGGGGTGCGCCGAAATCGTGCGGCAGGGATCTCGGCATGAGGAAAGGCAGACTCTGGTGGTCAATCGGGCGCCGCGCACCGCAGCAGCGACGCGTCACTGCATCCCTGTTTTGGGAGTCGGGCACGTGCTTCTTTCCTCTCCACCGACGCGCACGTTCAACTGCACTCCGGCTCGCAGCAGGTCGTCCGCGTTCGCAGCCAGCGAGGCGCGATAAACGCCGTTAAACCGCCGTGCGGCCGCGCTTCCACGCCCGCGCTACATCGCCGGCCGAGAGAGGACCGTTTCTGGATTTGCTCACACGCATTCTCTCTCACTCTCTCTCTCTGTCTTTCTGTCTTGCCCTCTTCTCTCTTTGCGACTCTGAGCAATAGAGTAATACGAGCAGGTGCGCGGTGTCGACCTCACGTTCACCTCGCGCGCGCGTTCATCCCTCGAACAAATCGCACCCTCTCCAAGACGCAGAGGTACTCCAGACGCTACCGCGGCCTTGAGAAGACGCGGGCTCCGCCGTCATCGGTCATCATCGGTGTCGCGCTCGTTCTGAAGTTGACCGGCGGAACTCCGTTTCGCCACGCGACTCGCAACGGCAGTGTGGATCCCCCGACGACGTGGCGAGCTGCGTTGTACTCTCGTTAAACTGTGCAATTGTAGTGTGTCAGTGAGATCGGCCTGCGGAGTCCAAGCCGCGCGTCGACAGCCGACTCCACGGGGCTCCTCGTCGACGTGGCGGACTGAGAGTGCGGGAGCTTTCCGCGACTCGCGGGAGCCGCGCTTCAAGAAAAAAAGTGCCGTGAGCGGAGCCACGCCGTCGCGGATTGTGCTTTCAGCTGGTGGCTGGATCCGGCCTGACCACGGCCATTCTCGACACGGTATGTTCCCCGCATTCTTTGCTTCAGCACCGACGAAGGAAACGCGCGGCGAGAGATCCTCCCGCGATTCGCCGCCTCCGGCTCGAGGATGCCCGAGTCAAGATTTTTATCCAACTTTTGACTTCAGTATTCGACATTCAATGTCTATTTTGTTACTTTGAAGCTTCTTTTGATTCTATTTAACCTGCTAGCCGACAAGTTTGCTTTGAAATCTACAAGTGATATTTTGTGCGTTTTCTGACCTTTCAGAGGTGCCAAGTAGGAGTTTAGTTTTCATGTATATATATTGTACTATATAATATACTGTATCTACTATATATATATATATATATATATATATATATATATATATATATATCTTATAATATATCGTATTTCTATTATATCTACTATATCTACTGTATAATATGCAGATGTTGAAAAGTTCAGAGGTCCAAAACAGGGCTAAAATTTCGACTCGGGTTGTCTCGTGGACGGGAGGCCCTTTTCTTGCAAACTCGCGACTCCAAAGTCTCCGAAATTCAGAGCGAGACACTTTGCTCCTTGAGGCTTGCGTATGGCTCTCGTCCGGACAATTAATTCACACTCGTAATCAACTCAATACGGTTCAAACGCTTCTCATTAGCTGTAACGCGTAAAGGGGAGCTTTGTTTCGTGCGGCGATGATGGTCGTACGTGTGCACGAGGCGAAGAGAACCGATTCTCCTGCCTTTTTTATTTTTGCTCGAATTGTATTGTTCTCGCGTTTTTAACAAACAAATTGTTCCTCCCTTGCAGCATTCCAATCGGATGCTGTATTCGTAGTAGGAGCTTTTGTATCTTCTCTGCGTCAGCACGTCGTTGATCAGTGGTAGAGTTCAGATCAGGTCTGTGGGAAAAAAATTATAAATAGGCCACGTGAGATTATCGATTCAACAGACTCGAATTTTCGCGTAAAGTACGGTAGAAAAAATTTGCACGTTCGAAAGAATATCACGGCGTATATTAACGGATTTTTTCTCGTCGTCACGAGATATCTTCCTATTAATTTTGCAATTTATATATCCGTGTATCATTTTTATCCGCTTAAGCGCAAGCAGTTTTAGCGATGTCCGATGCGCGTATAGAAAAAACGCGGAAAATATTTACCGCGAAATTATGCACCCGCCGCGCAACGGTCTCTCGCGTACATTTGCAAGTGTACCGTTTCTACACTCAAGAACAATCGATTCCTTCGCAGGTGCGTTTTGTCAGCTTGAGCGCCAGACATTTGTTCTTCAATTCGCTGCGATTATGAGATTTTAATCTCATTTGTGTGTGGCAAGAGCGAAAATATATCTCGTCGCGCCGTCCAAAGCGGCGGTAAAGGAGCGAATTTTCCCTGCAGGATCGTCCTCTCCCCTTCTCTCTTTCTCTCTCTTTCTCTCTTCCACTATCTATAGAAAACTGTAATAAACCGGAATAGACGTAATAACTTGGACGCGCGCGACGGCGCGACGGTTAGCTACAAATTGCGCGTGGCACAATGGCATTGTTAACGCCCGGGTACCTCATTATGATCGCGAAAAAAGCTGTCGATTGCGAGCGAAATGCGTCGGGCTTGTTTAACGAGAGAGCGTGCGAGGCAATATCGCGGTGTCCTTTATGGCAGCCTCGATTCTTTAACGCCCAACGGACGCTCTGATTTACGCCTCTGATCTCGTTCTAGAATTGACTTGAATTGACGTCCCTTCATCTCCTTCCCCTCTAACACCCGTTCTCGGGAATGAAACTCGCGCGGCGATTGCATTTTACGGTTTTCGCTGCTGTGTCGTTCAAGCGTTCTCGATCGAATATTGCAAATTTGTTACCGTCGAATCGAGGCTCTAATTTATTCCGCGCGCTTAGCGTACTCGGATTATTCTTTCTACTCGCGGAGATCTCGAGGAAATGGATTGCAGCGCGCTCGCGTTCTCTCTCGCTCGCACTTGTATTTTTTCGAGGATAATTATGAGAGGAGCGCTAAACGATTTTTCAGCGGAAGCGCCTTTCACGTGGTCGCGCGATTTCCCCGTGTTCCAACTCTTCTGCATCCCTCTCCGGCCTGTATGTTTATTCGAGAGAAAAAGAGAGAAAGAGAGAGAGGCGTAGCCATTATTTTTTAAACGGGGGGAGAAGCAGACACGTTCAGCTTATTGAAAGTGATACAATCTCGGAAAATAACAGATGTCTCCTCGAGTGCTTGACAAAGAAAGCTCTCGCTCGTACCTCGGAGATTTCGTGAAAAGCCCTTTGTCGTGCCCGAAGCGCCGGAGGGAAGGAGAACACAGGGCTCGAGAAAAATCTTAATCTCAATTATTTACTAATTCCGCTCTCCTCCCTTCCTCTATACACATCGCGGGTCGTCAGTTAAATCGACTCGTGTCTGCGCATTTTGTATTTTTCTTTGCGCGACCTTCTTTTCTTTGTTATTTTATTTACTATCCGACGTACTATTGGCGTTCTATCTCACCTCATATTTATATTAAAAAAAAAAATGTTTAGTATCTATAACTATAATCACATAAAGAAATAATTACTATAATTATTTCTCTTAATATCCTCTACATATAAGTACTACTTAATAATACCAAATGCTTTCTTAATATACCATAAATTATGGTTAAGAAAACTATTTTTTTTATTAAATTCTACTACAATATTCGCGATAATAACCTCATATGCTTGTTATTATTACTTTTTTGCTACAAAAAATATATTTGGGATAAAAAATAACTATAATTTCGTTTAGATCGACCATTTTTTCCCCTTAATGTACGTCCGTTTAATTAATCAAATTATTAACGAAATTACCAAAAAAACTTTCCAGGCCACTGGCTTGAATTCAAGACTACGAAATAATAAAAGAGACAGCTGATACATTTCTATATATATAAGAAGATATATCATTTTATATACGCGGAAAACAAATCTCAGTTCGCGGAACCAGATGAAAATTTGGCAACGTAACTGATATCATTGTTATCGTAACTGGAAGCATTTGTCTGAACATTCAGCTGTATTAAAAGTTGGTTGCAATAACACTGAGAACAATGGACCGATTAGAAATATTCCTCTCGCAGGATATATAATATTTTTGAGAACAAAGTTCCTCTTCTACTCCTTGTTCTTATCAAACAACGGAAATTCAATTATACTAACGCAATTGTTTTTCCCGTGTAGCTTGCTTGGTCTTTTATGGTTTGATTACTTTGATTATAGTTACACACGGGTAAAACAGTATGGTAGACCCATGCATAAATCTGGTCGCGCCAACCAGATTCAATACTGAATCTGATTGGCACGACCAGATTTATGTGTGGGCCAGACATGCTGTCTTTCCCGTATAGATGTATCATTTTGCAATTTGCTCACGCGGACTCAGCGGTCATTTGTATGCATCTACGAAATCTACGGCCAAGGGCCGGGAGGGAAAGAAGAGAAAAGAAAACGATTAATCTGCGCATCCGATACAAATTAGCGCGACGTAGTGAGCACAGGTTTATTACCGACGTTCTAATTGGCGCAAAATTAATGCATCGTGCTTAAACTTGCGTCTTTCGCGCTTGACGAGATGCAGGTCGCCTGCGAGATATTCCCGCTTTTGTGTGTCCCGGCAAGGTAGCGCGAGTCGTGTCGTTTCAACGAGACTAAACGCAGCTCGTTTCTCAGATCTCCGTCGCGTTCTGCACGTTGTTGTCGCTTGGCTGTCCGGGGGTAGTTCTGAGGCAGTAATTTCGTTGGCATTTCATCCCGCGCGTCTCACTACTTGGAAGTCCTCGGGAGTCCCGGTTGAAACGGTCCACTGTTTCCTTACTCTGTCTCCTCGTATTTTTTTATTAATTAACAATGCAGTGTCATGCAATTACCGTCGCCCGGCTGGTTAGCGGTCTTCGGCGCGAAACTTTGTCATTGTCAGAAAGAGCTCGAACGATTTGACGATAAATGTAATCGTAAAAATGATCTAAGCAGCTCTCGTGTTACGAAAGCGTTGTATAAACGCGAGTTGATTTTATTTAGATTTCATTTAAAGTTAAGTCATTCAAACATTGCAAATCATCACACGACGCGAGATACAAACTAAGCACTCGCCATTTCCAGCTGAATCCAGCGGAGAATTTTAGCCCTACTTTGAACTTTCCAACATATTCTGAAGTATATTCTGAAGAATCTGAAGTGTGTATATATGTAATACACGTGAAGATTGAAATCTTACTTGGCGCCTATAAATGGCAGAGAGAGAATATTATAGTTTCTTTTCATATATAAAGATTCTTTTTAATTTTACTATGTTTTTAATAATCTATATATAAGAAAATAGACCGTCAATAAGATTTGACTTGCTAAGAAACAGCAAATATCGTCAGAAATATAACAGATTTCACTAGAAACATAGTAAATGTTTTAACATCAGTACATTTCAATACAGTAAATGTTTTAACATCAGTACATTTCCAAGATATAAGCAGCGCATAGGAAATGAAGTGAATTACTGCAGAATGTTTATCTATTCCTCGAGTGCAAGGTCCTACAGTGATTTTTACTATAAAATTCCCTCCGTATAGGTTATAAATAGAATGAGAAAAGAGGTTAATATAGGTTTTAGACTATCAGGATGGATACGTCAAGTGGAATATAGGGTCGAAAGTAGGATTCAAGTGTCGACTCGGGCAGTCATGTGCACGCGGGATACAAAAGACATAGGAAATCATACAGAGATCGCGGCACCAGCGAGGAACGGTTTCGAAACGTCGAGTGCACGTCGATACGCGTAAAACAGCGCGGATCGAATGATTTATCCGTCGCCTCCACGCGGAGCCGCGTTTTGACAGCGACTCGATCTAATCGAGGATCTGCGGCGACAAGAGGTACGCCTCACCTGCCGCTCCCTCCCGCGCGCGTTTCTCCGAGCAGCAAGAAGCAGTGTCCCTCAAGCGAGCTGTGCGACCGTACGCGGAATGATCTCGCGGCCGGGCAAGTTTAACGATCCTCGCCGCTTTACAGCTTGCACTTTTCGATCCGACCCAGCCGCGTATTGATGTCCCCGCTTCTCCCGCCGTCGGCCGTCCCGTGGCGTTAGCCGCGCGTTATGGGCCTGAAAGGAGCTAATGATCTAGCGCGAGCCGCTGCCGAATGACAATTAACGCTCGTCGTGACGCGCGCCGACGCGATGATTAACCGTGATGAGACGAGGGCCACGCCGGCGGAATGCGCATAGAGACGCGCTGCGCTCGCGCGCCCACTGAGGATTCCTCGATCGTCAGGACGACGGTGATGATGATGACGATGATGATGATGATGATGATGAGGATCGTCGGGAGGCGGCGCGGTGAGAAGCTGCTTTCGTCGATTCTGAGAGCCGTGCGCGCGCGACTCCTAGGTGATCCGCCGTTTCTCGCTGGGCGCGAATCCGAGCCGCGCGCGCGTTGAAATCATTCGCGCTAATTACCTCTTCTTTCGAGGACAGCGCGGCGCTTAATTAACGGGAAGCTTTGTCGAAGGATAAACAAGAGCCCGTTCGCGCTCGCAAATCGTATGCGCGCTTCGTGTATAACGAGTGCTACACTTCATTTCTTATGTACATACAAATAACGCAATCTTCCGGGTGGGGTTTTAAAAATAGAATAACGACTGATAAGCAACGCGTTATCTCAAAGCCAAAGTGCACGCACTCTGCCTCTGCCGGTAAATAATGTCGCCAACGTCCGCTTCTCCCCTTCACGCGCACGCGATGATTTATTGTTATAAAATGTGAAATATCGCGCGCGAGACATATATCGGCGTTCTCCGAAATCACCGGCCGATTATCGAGCCGCTTTCGCAATGGAGAAGCGTCGCGGCCCGAGGAAGACCGTCCGATTCGCGTTTAATACGAGATTTGCCGTTCGCGCAAGAGCGAATTGCATCGGCTCGCGCTTACCGTAGAAGCGCGCGGAGGTCGATCTCTTTACTCTCTCGCGCACAGCGCTTGTACATAATTTCCGCCACATCTATTCCCGTTGCGAATTGCGTGCACGCGCGCGCGAGAAGGGGTATTCGCGAGCGAAATTTATGCGGGACGTAATCAGCCTTGGAAAAATTCGGAAATTTACCGCCGACACGGCAGTGTTTATTATTTGCGCGGGGTCGCTATTTATTTTTTGGCGCACTTTGAAATTTGCTTTTGGCGAACCAGTTTCGACGGCGCCAATATTTACCGCGCTTCGCGGGCGATAATCCCCCGAATTATGTTCTTTGAAGCCGCGCTGTTTACGCGCGCGCACGGAAGGGTGTGTGCGACGCGGCGCGGCGCGTCGCGTCACGTAGCGTCGCGTCGCGTACGCGCAGCGCCGCGGAAGAGTACGGGGGATCAATCGAGTTTTTCTCGCAAATTGCCGTGAATTTATAAAATCATCGCCGGAGCGCGCAGCGCGAAATTATCGCGCGACGGTGTCGCGACGCGGCCCGGCAATCGTTAACATCCGTCCGCCGTCGGCCGCCGCCGCCGGGCGCCGCGACCGCCGCCGTCGCTGCCGCCGCCGCCGCGCCGCGCATCGACGGGCCTTTTTTCCGCCTATCGCCAAGTAAAAAATCCGCAATACGATTAAGAACGACGCGCGGGATCGTCAATCGAAGCGCGCCCGCGTCCCCGTTAATAATCCACGCTGCCGACGTTACGTTGTTACGCGCGAAAATTGCTTTTTGATCGCGCTCCCCGCGCTAAATAATCACCGTGCGCGCCCGGCGCGATACATTCCCCGCGAGAGAGAGAGTTACGGCATTATCGACGATATTATCCAGCTCCGTTAATATAGTATCCGCGTTATACCATGTTACACGAATTTCAACGTGCTCCCGATCAACATGTTTTTTTCGCCTTTTTTTCCCCCGCTCGCTCTTTCGCTTGCCTGCCCTCTCCCTCTCCCCGCCACCCGCTTTCTGTGGAAACAGCGATGGATTTTCATCCTCCGCATATTTGCCCTAAATACAGCGCGATTATTACGTTCGAGCTTTTCGCCGGAAAAACGAGGCGCTCGAACGAAATTACTCCTCCATGCGCATATACCACGCGTGCCACGCGAACATAAAAAGAAAAAAGAAAAACGTCATTCTAATGAGGATCATATTGTGACTCATCCTGCTCTTCCCAGAAAGCTGAAGTGCAAAAAGGTGAATTTCTCAATAGGGGAGTGCGCCTCTCTCACCTACAAAGCGCGCGCGTCGAATAAGCTCATTAGCGCTGCATCGGCGAGCGATGATTTTATCGGGCTTTATTTTTATCGTATGTGTGTTATAAGTAGTGTAATATATCTATCTCTCCTCCAACGCGCGACGGAGTTGTCGTATGTCGTTCAGCCAACGCGTCCTCGCGGACGTTTCCGCGTATAAATACTGGCAAGCAGCCTCGCGCGTAATCACCTCGGTGCGATGCCAACTCGCCCGCATAGTTTGAGGCGCGTCGAGAAGGTGGAGGAGCGGAACACCACGAGCGGAACTTGACCGAAACCATTCTGGATGATTTTAGCACTGTGTTAGCGTGGCCGGAGGTGGCGGCGGTGGAGACGGCGGCGGAGGAGGCGGCGGAGGCGGCGGAGGAGGCGGCAGCGGCACGGTCGGCGGCAGTCGGCTGAGCCTGCACCTTCGTCCTTGCGGAGGCGGCGGTGGCGGCGTCATCGCCGAAAGTGACAGCGCTCCGGATTACCCGCCGAGCGCTGCGGCAGTGCGGAGCAGGGAGGCGGCGGCGGCGGCGCTGCACGCGGCAAGAACCCTGTTGGGCGCGGGGGTGGCTAACCCTTGCTCGCCCACCCCCGAGCCGCCCTTCTGGAAGATGCCGCATAAAGGTCGGTTCAGTCGATTTATGCTTCTTTTAACTCGGACCAGCGCGAGAGCCGCGAGATGCTTTCCTGTTTCATGGGGATCTCCGCGATAGTTAATTCCCCGTGCTTGTCCGAGTTGAAATCTTAGCCCTACTTTCGATCCGAACCTTTCAACATCTGTACATCCCGAAGGACCAGTATGTTGTGTAACGCACACGGAAACTGAAATACTACTCAGCGCCTTTAAATGGTAGAAAACGTCGCGTGTAAGTTCTAAAAAGGGGAGCTCTCGGCAAAACTAGTAGGTTAAGTCGAATCAAAAAAGGTTGATGTAAGTTTCAGAACGAGTGTTCGGAATGAGTGTTCAATGAAATACCGAGGTCGAAAGTAGGAATCCGAATTTCGACTCGGGTGAGACTTCAGAAGTTTCTCGCTGTCAATTGGCGAACTGTCATTGACGATTACTTTGCTGATGTCACACGCAAGACTGTGCACAGAAAAAGAGAACGTTCTCGTTTGGAAGGTGTCTTTATTTTTTATATATTAGGCTTCAAGTTAGATTACGTAGCGTTAAACAAAGTTATGTTGCTTGCACAGAAATATATTTTATATGATTCAACGAAAAGGAAAACCTGTAATAAGAAGTAAATATTTTGATTAAAATTATGATCTAATAAACAGATATTTCTTAACGCAAGCATATTTTAAACACGCTGTTTGTAGTAACATCACAAAGTATTCGTCAAGTGTTGGCATGTTATATTCAGTATTTCTGTCCATCTGGAGAATTTTCGCTGTACACAGAAAAAAGGACATTCTTGTTTAGAAAATATTTTTATTTTTAACGCGTTAATTTTCAAGTGAGATTGCATAGCATTAAACAAAAATAATGAGTTACTGGCAAGAACATATCATATATAATTTTATATAATTCGACGGGCCAGAGAAGAAAATCCTGTTCTTATTATTCAAAAATAATCTTTATTCACACACTATGAAAAGCACAAAACGTCGGATTGAGATGTTTTTAAATATGTGTTATGCCATGTTACTTTATCCACTTAAAACTAGTATATTCAAATTAACAATCACTGTTTCATATATAAAACAATCATTGTTTCACACATAAACAATGATATACAATTTTGTTCGAAGAATTTTATTATCTTAAGTTTAAACAATTTGTGGAACTGAATATAAAATGTATTGGTGCAAGTAACTTATCTTCGTTCAACAGTATATAATCTTATTTGAAGATTAACATGTCAAAGATAAAAATATTTTTCAAACAGAAATATTTTTCTTATGTTGTCCTCTGTGAAGAATATCCTCTGTGCGAGTAATTCAGAAATAGATTTATTGATGCAAATTACCAGGGCGGTAATTATGAGTAATTTATTCTTATTAAACAAATGGAATAAAAACTTCGTCTACAGACGAAGAAACGTATTGCTTACAAAAAAAAGAGACGTATTGCATCGTGATGTGTTTTATTTTGAAATACTTGATTACTTATAGGTACTCCCGCTACAATTGTGTGATAAGTTTACTGTCAATCATCAAACATTACATGTCAGTAAGTGTATACAGAATACACGTGATAAAAGCGTGAAAAAGAGGACATTATGATAATTGCTTGTGGGAAAACCCGCTGTCATATCAACGACAATAGTATGTCACAATGGAATAAAGCGAATGTTTGAGCGAGTTCTTAATACCGAATTCGATTCGCTTCGCAACACCGATTCCCCGCTATTGCATCAGTTCCGCGAACGCGCGCGATAACAAAAAGTTGACATTTCCTTTAAACTCCCACACGCTGCATTTTTGCGGGGATTCCAATTATCACGGTCGCCTGCGAAGTAACGCGATGTCGCTTGGCGGACCTGCTCGTTGTAGAAAGAAGCGACTCTCGACCTATTCTCTCGCCCTTCTAACTTGGCTGTAATCAGTTCGCGGAGGTTCATTAACCCGCAAGAATCGCGCGTTTTATGATTCCTGATTGAATAATTTAAGATCATTCACTTTCGATGATCCTAAGAGACGAGAAAATAATATCACAAGAACAAAACGTCGAAAGAGACACCACAACATTACATTTCGCAGATACAAAAGATATCGTAACGACGCATTCGAGAAAATATCGCAGTAGAAATTGTGTCCAAATTGTATTTATTCTTACATAATGTTTCGCGTTTACATATTGAAAATGTACAAAATATATCGAATTTAACATATTTCGTATGTCCCTATTTATTAATTCTAACTTTTGTATAAATTTAACACGGGGAAAATATGTAAACAAATAACAGAAATAACATACCAAAAATTAATATAAAAACACTTGGGCACTATTTTGTTATCTTAACTTAGAAATGGTGAATATAAACTCAAAATATATAGAATAGTAAAATAACACGGGTACGTTAAAAATTTAACACAAATACTTTTACATGAATCGACTTCAGCACAAATAAATGTTTTTCACCGTGCAGTATAAATTACTGAAAAAATAGCAAATTTGACGATCTATCTGGTGTACGATAAAAAAAAAACACTCAAGTAAATAATTTCGCGGTAAAAAGTCAAACGTGTACAATATCTTTGAGCAAATATTAATTGTAACTTCGGTCATAATCTTGTATGGTCCACAGGATTACAGAAAATTTTGTTGCAATTTTTACAATATTTTCCGCGTGTACAGAGACCGCCACTTCGCAACAGACTTGCCTTCGTGATTGAAAGTTTTCTCAAGCGGGGGTGAATAATTTCGATCGGGTGGTCGATGCCCTTCCAGCGAAGTCGCGACCTTCGCGATGAGTTATATGTAGAGTTATATATAGGTAGAGGGGGCGAATAAATACGTTTACGCTTATGGGCTTAGGTAGGCTCGCGGTTACCCCCGGGGGTTAGTCGGTAACCCGACACGCCTTTGGCCGGCTTCTGTCGGGCCAGCGGCCCCTTCGCCGCCGACTCCGACGGAGCGAAGGGTGGAGGCCCTCTTGCACCTCGAAAGATTCGACCCTATAGCGCATGTCGCGCCGCCACACCCGGCGACAATCGGTTAGGCTGGCTTCCCTTCCTTTTCGTGCTCGACGATACCGCGGGGATGCTTACACCGCCAATTTGTCTCGATGCAACGTAATCTTTCCCCGGTCGCAGTTACCTACGCTCCTCCTCCACGGCGGAGCCGCGGGGTCGCGTTACGCGGGCTCATGGTCCATGCGAGCTCATAATGGGACTTACAGGAGGGTAAGTGCTTCTCTCAGTCTCTCTCTCTCTCTCTTTCTCTCTCTCCTTCTCTACAGCTCTCTCGGAGCATTTGAACAAAGTGTATCTGTAAGTGTATATGTGCGTGCAGCTCCAAGGCGGACAATGTCGCGTGGCACGAGCGCGCCCCTCTTTCATTCGTCCAACCAGCAGTCTGTCTGTTCTCTCTTCCTTCTTCCTTTGTACGAGTGTGTACCACACGTATACGCACGCACACGCAGTGAAAAGAGGGCGAACTCTCTCTTACTTCGGTTCTCCATAAAACCCCACGGTAGTTCGAATCAAACAGCCGATTCACGCGAAAGCGCTTTATTTCGCTCTCGTCGCTATGCGAGATTTGTTAATGGTTATGGGCGCTGGGGGCCCGCGCGCGCGCGAGTTGGCTATGGGCGTCGGGATCGGATCTCGCGCGTGCCAGGACTCGGAGGCTGCGGAGATTATCTGCCTCCGCTTCCAAGGGGGTAATAAATGTCGGCGGTGCGGGATTATCCCCGCGACCAATCAATAGGCTACGGCTCGCAATACGTCCGCGAGGCACGCCGATAACTTTCGCTCGTGGCTAGATATACTAGTCTATATATCGTGGGGGGCTTCGAATCCGCTGCCAGTTTGGTCCTTCGATCCGTGTGGCAGCCATACTTGCGAGGAAGGACACGTTGCTGAAGGGTGTGCCATTTGCAGAGAGAGATTCGCAGAGAGAGAGAGAGAGAGAGAGAGAGAGAGAGAGAGAGAGAGAGAGAGAGAGAGGGGGGGAGGGGGAGAAAGAGAGAGAGAGGAGAGTGACCGCGTGAATCCTCGGGTATTTCGCGTACGAATAGCCGTTAATTAATCCCGTCGTGATACGTTTCGCGACTCATCCTCGTTAAGCGAACGATATTTGGTCGGGGATAACTCGTTTCGTAAGCGCGGAGGGTTTGAAGATCAATAGAATCTCGGTGACACAATTGAGAGATCAACGTGCGATGGATATGTCGGTCGATGGATTGCTCTCGCGATATTAGAGAACGTTCTTTCTTCGCTGTCAGCCGCGACCATAATTCGTCTCGTATATGTCGCGCGTTCGCACGAGCTTCAGTTTCGCGGTCCGTTAACTGGCAGCTCGTTTGCCGGCGCGAGATTTACGCAACCACGCGGCCGAGATTATTTCGCGTTATTTCGCGTTATTCTGATGGCGCCGAGGATCTTGTTATCGAGTAAATCGCAACAAGCGCAAACATACGAATACCAGCCCCGCGGCCATGAATTCTCGGTATTTACTCGCGAAGGGCTGCAGGGAAGATACGCGACGGACCGCCTTACACACGGTGTCAATAATAACGGGCGCGGTAATGAGTATGCGCTGTTGGAGATGGTGGCTGCTAATACCGCGCCGCCGCCTCTTAACACCATCCGTAATGAATTCGTCGCTCGGAAAGCGCGTGTGCTGGAGAGAGAGAGAGAGAGAGAGAGAGAGAGAGAGGGAGGGAAAAAGGGAGAGGGAGGAGAGAGAAGAGAGAGAGGAGAACGCGCTCTTACCATGATTCAACTCATTAGAGAGCGTATGCCTGGCACGCTATCTTTGATGTAGCTGAAAGGCGCGCACAGATGAAGCTCTCTCTTTCTCTTTCGCTCTAACTCTATCTTTCTCTTGCTCTCTCCGCGATGTCGTGAGTTTATCGTGAAACGCTCGGAGGCTACGCTGCGCCGCGCCGTCGCCTGCTCATCCTTCCGAATCTACTGACGTGATAATAACATTTAGCCGGTGACACTCGACA